TGTGATCTCTGCTCCCTGCCCTGGGGAGCTGTGATCTCTGCTCCCTGCCCAAAGGCCAGAGCACCCCTTGGGCCAGTCAAAGCCATTGGCATAGGGAACACTTGCATCTGCCGTGCTGTCTGGTGGGTCTGAGAGCAAATGGTCGTGGAAGGAGGACTGAGATCTCACACTTCCCTGCTCATGGTCCTGCTGCTACAGCAGCATGTGCTCCTTCCTTAGCCTGGATCACGGGGCAGCCAGAGAATCAATCCACTGGCTGCAGTCAGTCTCTGCTGGCTTAAGCTGAAAACACAAGTCAAATATACTTAAGACAAATACATAAAACGTTTTTTAAAAAATCAGCAGCTCTGAACTTGGTCAGTAACAGGTGCTGTGACCCAGAATAGGAAGGAAACCTGATTTCCAGCATTTCAATGGGCTGCTGAGTTCTGTGAGGACCTTCCTCCAGGGAAGAATGCAGTCAGAGAGAGACTGTGTGACAGCAGCTGTTTTATGTGAAGACTTTTCTCTGAGTATCTTCATATCTCACATCAGTTTCATATAGGCTTAATAGGGTAGATGGTGGAAAGATATTTCCTAATGAGTACTTGGTTAATTTGTGTCTAGAAATGTGAAAAATAACATTCTTGGGAACCGGGAGATTGGAGAGCTGGGTTTTTTTTTTCCTGCCTGCACAGCCAACCGCAAACAAGACTTTGAAAACTTGACCCTGTCATTTCTGGTTTCTAGGGAGAAAACATTTTTCTTTGTAGAAACTGGAAAGCTGTAAGGCACAGTCACACTGATCTGCAGTGTGCCAGCACACGAGTGGTAACGGCAGGAGGTGGCAGGAGCATCTGAGGGCACGTGCAGCTGCACTGCAGGAGGGATTGCTTGTGCAGGCAACAGAGCTGGCATTCTCATACCTGTGTGCCAGGGCACCAGCCCTGTTACCCAGAGCCAGGAATGTGCTTGGTAAAGAGTCTTTAGTGCTACGTTCAGGATATGCTGCATATCACCTGTGATATTAATCACAATGAACTGTTGAGAGAAAGGCAGAGATGCCAGCCAGAACTAGCTTGTATTAAACTTGTTGATAAAATAGTGGCTCTAACCCAGTGAGTTGGGAACTGATGAAAACAAAAAGAAGATGAGATTGCACACATCATCTTATGTGTTTGTATGGTTTGGGGATTGTATGTACACAGCAGGTGCCTGTTAATTATTAACACTACTGTTTATCTCTGTTTCTTGGCCTTTCTGCTAAGGTTAAGTGCTATATGAGCTGCTAGATGCATGTCCTTTAGCAGAGGTTATCTGTTCTGATCAGAGAGAGCTCTGAAGTAATTGTCAGCCACTTGTTACTCTCTCATTGATGTCAAATAGATAAAAGTTCAGCTCCTTCCCACCAGGAGTAGAATCCATCATCTTGCCCCGGGGAAGTCAAGGATGCCCTATAACAGGGCATGGCTGACTGTTATACAGGGCCCCCCAGAGATCCCTCTCAGCCCAAACTCCTCCTTAACACGACACATCCAACAGATGCCCAGCCTGGGATGGGGTGAAAGCTCAGGAGTGAGTTGAAGGAGTTCTCTAAAGCACCCTGTTACAGCCTGAGGGCAGTGCAGTTCATCTTACCTCGAGCCAACTGCAGCAGTCAAACACTGTTTGGAGGGGATTTTTTAATTATTTTTTTTTCTCTTCCTCAAAGTGAACAGAAGAACACGATAAGAGCAGTTTTATAGCTGGTGAATGCATTTGGTTTCCCTTTTCTTGATGACAGACCGATCAGTTGACAGCTTTTATTGGCCTGAAGACGACAGGCTTTTCTAGGAGTTTCTTTTTGGAGCATCAAAAATTTTAGGAAAGAC